TGTATATATTATCACCACTACCGTTGTTGCCTCAATTTCTTTTCTTTATAATTTGCTCTGTAAAGGTTGCTACTGATTTTCAATGTAAGTGGTAGTCTTTTAAATATAGCATTTTTTAAAATTAATATTGCTATTTTTCTTTTATTGAATAGGTATTTTATTTTTCACGACGTTCTGTACCTACTATATTCTGTCACCACTACCGTTTGCCTGAAACGATATTAGCTTATTTACACCAAAGCAATGCTACTTATTTCAATATCGATTAGATCGTCTGAAACAAGACGTGCGAAAGCAAATAATTAATATGCCGATAATTGCAAAGTACTCTATTGCACATCTTCTACGAATTTATTTATGAAGCAGTTTAAAGCTGTAATAAGCATTAGCGGAAATCAGGTTTACTGAACTAGAAACATGTCAAAACAAAAACTTGTATTCCTTAACAAAATAATAAATGAAGTCTATTTTAACATTTGTTTCCGAACAGAATAGTACTTTGTAAAAACTATTATATAGAAGGAAATATTATTACATAAAAATTATGCAAAAATATTCTAAAACCGTTTTTTAATAGCAAAATAAATTAATGGTTCGACTGGGAATTTGTACAATCTGTATATACAGTAACAGTATTCTTCTTCTCCTTCTTCCTCACCAGCTTTTCCCTTTTCAGGGGTCGCTGTTCCCTCACTCATTTCTGCCCATCGGATCTTCTTCACCTAAACCTTTCTCTCTCAAGTCCTCTGCCACATAGTCCTCGATCTTCTGCTCGGTTTTCCTTTATCTCATCTTCCACCAAGTTCTAACAGTTCTATCCTTCGTTCTACATAGTTTTCATTTTTATGAAAAATCTTTTCCCCCTTCCTTACTTTCTCTGTTAGTATATCCATAACAAGATTATAGAGATAAGGACTCAGTGAAGAGCCTTGATGCAAATTAACCGTCACTGGAAAACTTTCGGTCAATCCGACAGCAGTTCTTACTTTGGTGTACGATTTCTCATACATATCCTTCACGGGCCTTACGTACTTCTCAGGGACCCATTTCTCTCTCATATATCTCCATAGCTCTCGTCTAGGAACTTTCATACGCCTTCTCAAGATCTATAAATATCAAATACAGCTCTTTTCTTTCGCTGTATTTCTCTATTAACTGTCGTAATACAAACAAGGTATCCGTTGTCCTCCTTTCTGGCATAAACCCCAACTGTTCTTCTCCTATCGATGTTTCTCTCCTTAAACTTTCATTTACAGTTCTCTCCCAAATTTTCATTATGTGCGACATTAACTTTATCCCTCTATAGTTCTTAAAGTCCTGAATGTCCCCTGTATTTTTATATAATGATACTATCCACACTCTATTCATGCATTGGGCATCGTTTCTTCCTCATATATCCTACTCATCATTTGCCACAAAATATCAACCCCTTCCTCTCCTAGAGCCTTCAAAACCTCCACAGATATTCCATCAAGTCCTACTGCCTTACCCTTATTCATCTTATTTAACACTAGCAATAATAACAGTAATAGTGTTCAAAATAAACGCAGATACTGCTCAAGTACTAAAGGATGTTTCAAAATTTACGCAAGATTTAAATTGAATAGAAAACACTGTTTTTTTTTCACTATGAATTTTGACCATGATGAACGGCAGGTGGAATGCAATTTTTAGATTCCCTTGCCGAGTAATTTATCAAGCTGTTTGCTTTGCAAGTTTTAGAAACACAGTGGTAAACATTTGAATTAGATTTTGCCAGGTATAAATCGTATGATTTCTCTTTTTGTTTTTTACTATTTTTTTTTCGTTAGATTGTAATTTTTTTATTGAATCTTAAAGTACGTAAGTTTTCTTGGAATTATTCATAGCAGGTAGTAGGTAAGGTAACTACGAAATAATTTTATTACAAATATCTACTAAAGCTACAAGTTTTATTGTTTGGGAAAACCCATCTGGGAATTATTTATCAGAAGAATATGATCAACATGCAGTTATCTTAAAAATTTGAAGTTCATATTATTGCATTAGACTCCTATTTACTAAACCGTTTTATTACAGGTTCCATGTGAAAAAAAATTAAAAATTTCCCAACACCTGAAAACGGCTCTCCACCAATATAAACTTTCTAAGGACTTCAAGAAACCACGCCAGCAGCTTCTCCAGCACAACATATTGTAAAGTTAAAAATAAGTCAGTACAGGTACCAAGTTCTTCAACTCTTCGCAAGAAATATGTAAGTGCATCTTACAAAGACTTTATTGAAGGTATTAAAAGCCGGGTAAGAAATGAATATCTGTGGTTATCTGTCGACGAGACTACTGACGCCAAGGGTCGGCTAATCGCGAATTTAATTATTGGAGTTTTAAACAGTTCAGCTGATGACCCCAACAAGTCGTATTTAATCAGCGTAAAATGTTTAGAAAAAACAAACTATGCAACAATTGCTCGATTTGTTAATGAATCTTTGAGAAACTGCTTTTTACCGAATCAAGTACCTTCTGAAAAAATTTTGCTACTAGTTAGCGATGCCGCTTCCTACATGGTTAAAGCTGTTACTAGTCTTAAGATTTTTTTTCCGAATTTGATTCATTGTACATTTGTTTCCAAATGTAAACACTTTATTCAACAATATAAAGAAAGTATTTTTAAAATCAGCACCATTGCGAGTAGAAGTATATAGGGAGATGCCTCCCGATATCCCTTTGCCACCGAAACCAGTGTTGACTAGATGGGGGACGTGGTTGAATAGTGCCATATTTTTTGCAAATAATTATATTGGTATCTAAAATGTTATATCAAATTTTGATCCTTGTTGTTGTATTGCTGTTCAGAAATGTCAAAATATATTTAGTGAGAATTCTGTTCAGAATGAACTGTCCTATATAAAAGCAGATTTTGACATTTATTACAAAACTATAGAATCAAAAATTATCTTTAAATGATAGTATTTGTATTGTTGATTCTGTCAAACAAAGAATAGTAAACCTTTCAGAGATAACTGAAAAAAAAATTAGAGATAAATTTAGTGAAGTTTTAAACCGGAATGATGGCTTTTCTTTATTGTGATCAATAAATAACATAATCAATGGAAGCTTTAACGAAGGTATTAATATGAATCCCTGGCTAGTGTCAAATTTTAGATTTGCGCCAATTACATCCTGTGATGTTAAAAGATCGTTTTCCTCATATAAACACATATTAACTGACAGAAAGCATAACATTACTCTTGAAAATATTGAACATTTTATGATTATATACTGTAACAGCAAGAACGAGGACATTTTCTTGTGAATTTTCATTTATATTTTTTTATTAAATGTAGTAATAAATAAACACTCTCTAAGTTATATTATAATTTTATTTCTCACCAAATCTCAAGCCCTAAAAATTAAAAAATATATTTTTTTAAGTGCATATATTAATGCATATTGCATAATATATATATATATATATATATATATATATATATATATATATATATATATATATATACATATATATATATATATATATATATATATATATATATATATATATATATATATATATATATATTTAGATCACATTTTTCTATTCTAAATGATGATTCTTTGCCCATGGAATGTTCTGTTTTTTCATGAAAAACTATAGGAATAATCGAACGTTTACAGTACATTATTTTTCATGTCGTCTATTCTATAAATTATAAGTTAACATATCATATATATATATATATATATATATATATATATATATATATATATATATAATTTAGAATAGAAAAATTGGATCTAAATGTACTTAGTAGTCCAAAAAAGTAAGCAAAAAGTATCAATATAATAGTGTCAGTAAGAGTGGTAAATAATAAAGCGAATACACCGCTAGCAAATGTGTGAGGTCAAACGTTTCAATCAAGGTAACTATAGGGATCAGGTGATTTTATTCGTCTACATGGCGTGACAAATCTCGAATTTTAAATATCGCCAACAAGTTTATCTGCAGAATTAGTTAAATAGCGATGTATATTTTAAAACCATATTTTTTAGATTATTCGAAGCGTGACTTTGATATTTATGGTTTAATAGTTGGAAAGTTTATCTAAACTACTTGATTATTTTATCAAAAGATAAAATACTACTAAATTGCCAAAACGTTTATCAGAAGTACGGAAGTTTTAATTTTACCAGATCTTGTTTTGAAACACATTGAGAGAAAAATTTCGTTACGATTACACAATTGTGTTTACATTATCTGTATTCAATGTTTATGCATTTAGAATAATGCAGCTTTAAAAGTTACATATACATTGTTATTCAAGAGAAGTAGTTTTTAGTTAGATATAGCACCTTATTCTGGTCTTCATAAAATGTTTCGAGAGCTATATTACAGTTAGAAGTCTATCTCTTAGATTTTATTAGCTTCTCTAAAGAATGTTTGAGATACATATCGTCACACTACTTAGCAAAACTCGCAACTCCATTTTTATTCAATTTGTGAATATATGCGCCATCTATTTGTAAATTAATGTATCTGTCTTTTGACCAAATCCTGTAACTCCATCTAAATGTAAAAATTAAATATAAGCGAAAAAGAAAACCTTGTAACTCCGCATTACCTTTTGACTTCAGCAAACCACGTAACTCCAATAAAAGTGCGGTTAGGTACATCTGACAGTAACACGTGAGATCCGTTGTATGTTTGTCTTTTTCTCTCAGTTTATACTTCTCGTGTATTTATTTTTTACTTTGGTAATATTAATTTTTGTTAGAAAACCGCCACCAAATTTTAAGTAAGATTTTTTGTCTTTTTAAATGTCCTGAGCAGACAAAATGTTAGAATTGGCCTTGTCAAAGCCTCCTATCTTAGTCGATTCATTTGTACCACATGAAAGTGAAACTGGAGATATTTGTAACACGGATGTTTTAATTATTAAAGATGTGATCGAAAATCCCCATGTAGAAAATATATCTAGGAAGAACCAAAAACAAATTTTGAAAAGAATGGTGTAAAAATTAATAAAAATGAAGATTCAGAGTGTACCTCGTCTTAAATCTATAAGAACGAAATTTTTGAAAAAGAAGAAACTTCAAGAAAGAACAGAAAAAAGAGAAGACATGTTAAAGTAGAAGCTTGGAAAAGAGAGCAAAATAGGAAAAATGCTTACAAAGGTAAAATTAGTACTACTGGAAAATCGGAATATAATATTCCAAAAAGACAAAGAATATTAAAACAAAGGTGGTCTTGTAAGATATCAGCCAGAAATTTAAACAAGCTAAACAAATCTGGGATGCAATGCCATCTATATACTATCGGATGAAGTCATAAAGTTGGCTTTCACGAATTTTTGGAAAATAAGCTGGGGTGAACAAACTTTTTTTGTAGCTCTAAACGTAAAATCTGAAACACCCCAAAGAAAACGAGACCGAAAAGACGAAAACAAATCTAAAAGAATTAATAGTTTTACTAAAACGGCCAAATTAAAGCATGCAAAAAATTGTTCCTTAACACACTAAGCATAGGAGAATGGACCATACGCTCTTGCAGCTTGCTCCATAAAAGGCTAGCTCCATACAACCATAAAAGCTCAATCAAAGGCTAGCAAAAGGAAACGGTTAGATTCGGAAACAATAAATTTGTCAATATTATTTTTTGAAAGTGTGAAAAAAATGGAATCTCATTATTGCCGATCTTCATCTCAAAAATTGTATCTTGAACCACAATGGCAGTCAAAACAAAAACTTTATGAACTTTACTCTAAGGACTGGTGTAATTACGTGGAGCCGTTTTCAATTGCATATTTTAGCAATTATCATGAGGATATGAATTTGAGTTTATTTAAGAGAAACAAAGATGAGTGTCATGTATGTGTGGCTAAAAGAGTAGGCAATGCTACAGAAGCGGAGTATGAATTGCACACATTAAAAAAGAAGAAGCCACATAAGAGAAATCAAATGACAAAATTAGTACCAATAATTAAGTGTTTACTATGGATCTACAAGCTGTACTTCTTTGTCCAAAGTCCAACGTCTCAGCTTTATATTATAACCTAAATTGGCCGTCCATAATTTTACTCTTTATGATATTAAGACCGATAGAGAATACTGCTTGGTGTGGAGCGACCAATTGTCGTCCATTCAAACTGGAGAGAAGTTGATTTCTTACAGTAACGGGTGCACCGGGCAAAATCGCAATGCAGTATTGTCGAGTGCTTTGTTGAACTTCGCTGTATAGAACAAAGTGTTTGTGGTTCAAAAATTTCTCGAACGTGGGCACACACAAATGGAAGCTGATGCTATGCAATCATGTTTAGAAAGACAGTTAAAAAACACAATTATAAATGTGCCTGCGCAATACATAGAAGCAGCGGCGGCCGGACAGGTGAAGTAGGTGAAGGTGAGGTTCACCAAAAAAATATAATTAAATTGAGACAAATAAATAAAAAATAAAAGCAACATTATTATATCTAAATTCTGAAATTAATTTATTCTCTTTTAATTAATCTAAAAATTAAAAAAGATAACTAGCTTTATTAGCGGTAGGTACTTGACGGTCAAGTCCTGACATGTGTCATTAGCCGTGTACGATTCAGGAATAGGTGAATATCAATTTTGAAATGCGGAATTCATCTGCACAAGCGTTCACGGTTGCCATGGCAACGTGACGTCAGCCTGTCGTTAGTGATAGCTGAGAAAACTGGGAAGTGCAGATCAATTGAAAAATAAACTATACGTCTTCACCCACTAGTTTAATGTGTATGTAGTATTCGTATTTTTCAGAAATTTCTCTCAGCGACAATATTTTGAAATTTTTGTCTATTATATGGATATTTTTTATATAGTATAGTTTATGTAGTGTATTTATTAGTTTAGTTTAGCCACAGTATTAAGTTTATTTTTTTGGTGCACTTTATTATAAGCCCATCGACTTAATCTTGATTTGCAACAGAGCTTTAAGAAAATATTAAAATGTCGAATTTTTTTTGCAACAATTACCGGAATCCCATCGTTTTTTCATAGTTCAGCAAAACGATCGTATGCTCTTGCATCTCCATCGGCTAGACGTATGCCAACAATTACAGAGACAAGATGGTCGTCTAATTCAAAATTAATCAGTGTAATTATTGAAGACTGGGAAACATTAAGAGAGGTTTTTGATAATATAATAAATTCTAAAGAGTCAGACCGCAAATCAGTTCAGCTGGCTAAAGGATTTTTAAGAGATTTAAATGATTTTGAGTTCACATTTTTAGTGACATTTTTCATATAACAGATATTTTATATGATGTTCTTCAAAAAAGTCCCTAGATATTAGGTGATAAAAGAAATGAAGAATTTTTTATATCTATTTTTGAAAAAGCAAGCACAATGACGGCCATTAATACTTCCAAACGGTTTAGGTGTGATGATGGTATGAGCAAGAATGCAATTACTATTCAATACAGAGCATTATTTTTTGAAATATATGATCATATTTTAATGTAAATGGATATACGTTTTCAGGATTGTGATTCAAATTTGAGTCATAGTCATACAGTTTGACCTTCCCTTCCGACGCTTTTCAAAATTTATTTGAGTTTTATATCACACAATTTACTAAACATCAAAGACTTAAAAGTGGGCTCTGTCTTCTTTATGCCGACGAAAATTACAAAAATGTGAATTTGCAAGAATTATTTATAAAGTTACAACTAATTAAAGACATTGTTGTAGAAGCTTATAATTTGTTTTGTTTAATTCTGACAATTCCGTCGACAAGAATTTCCGTAGAAAGTTTTTCGTGCCTAAAAAGCTTAAAAACTTTTACAAGAAACACTATTTCACAAGATAGACTATCCAGTTTGACTGTTATCGCACTTCATAAAGAACTGTTGAATGAACTTATGCAGAAGCATATTTTCTACGAGGATATTATTGATAGATTTGCCTCCTTAAAAGACCGAAGGATTGACTTGATTTATAAAAACTAGTCAGTTTTATTAGTCTATCTATTAGTCTATCTAATACTGCTTTTTTTGTTTAAGTATCTCTTCACCCCCGATTCTAGTATCATCACTATAATCATTCCGCAACCTCTTGCATCCGATTTTGGATATAGGTGTCCTCCATATTCTTCCATTGTTCTCTACCTTGTGCCATGTATATCGAATTTTCCACTGTTTTTCTTAAGTCATCCATCCATCTTTTTGGTGGTCTATCTTGGTGTCTTTTATCTTCTCTAGATCTCCATTCTATGAGTCTTTTGGTCCACCTATTATCATTTAAACGTGCTACATTCCAGCCCATCTCCATTTGGCTTGTGCAATTTTTTCTATGACATCTGTCACTTTAGTCCTCTCTCTTTCTCTCTCTCTCTCTCTCTCTCTCTCCTCTCTCTCTCTCTCTCTCTCTCTCTCTGTCATCCCGTGAGAAGTTGTTGGACCTCCATCGGTCGCCTCCCCAGGTTGCGGATAGGGGAATGCCTCCTAGATATAGGTGGTACCGGGGAAATGAAATACTCGGGACGGACCAAAATCAGTAAACACTGCAGTGTCTGATCCAGAGTGATCGGCTGCAATCAGCATCTGACCCAGAGTGGGCGGCTGAATCGAAACTTAATAAACCCGTTTTACCAGGCGTGGTGTTTTAATCGCCAAAAAACCCTCAATGAAATATCGAAGATTCAGAATTAAAATGATCCAGGCAAGTAGAACGAATCATATCTAGTATAAGTACCATAAAAAACTGTTTTATTAAGTTATTATTCAATCAATTATGTATATCAAGTAATTTTCAATTTAGCAGTTAATTAAAATGTCATTTTGCAATAAATTTGTTTTATAATGCTTGTGTGCTTTTAACCTCGTAACTCCAAATTAATATTGGTTTAATTGGGACAAACCTCGTAACTCTACAAACTTTTAGTATAAACTCGAAAAATTTAAAAATGATTCTCCACAAGATCAAGTATATTGTTTTATTTTACAATGTTCGATTAATTTTGACACAAATTTAAATCACAAAATTTATTCGAAATAAAACTTTTTGCATCTCCTGAACAGTTTGTCGTTTTGGAGTTACGAGTTTTGCTAATTAGGGTGACGATATATGCTGCATTGCAAGAAGAGGACTGAACGAATCGGTAAATAACAGAGGTTTTGAAATATTTTAGAGGTTTGAGATTGAGGCAAATTCAACTGTGAAAACACTTGAACTAGGCCGTAGTTTAAATTGGAAAGTAGACCTAAGAGAGTCTCGTTCAAGAATCTCGTTTAGTTTGTTTTTTATTAGTAAGGCGTATTTTTGAAGAACTCAATTAAATAGTTATTAGGGATATCTATTTACCACAGAGCCGGATATTGGATGTTACAATGAAAAACGACTGGGATTTTTGCATCAAATTTATTCAAAATTGATCCGAAGTGCGGCCTTGTGGATTGCATTCAGCGGTTTTAGGGTAATCTTGGTTGCGGAGGCATAAACAATTGAACCATAATAGATTTTGGCTCTGATTAGTGTTTTATACAGAAGAAGCAGTGTAGAGAAGTCAGATCCCCAGAAGCGATTTGATAGGGTTTTAAGCCAATTTAATCTTTTGTTTCATGTTCGCATCAATTGTATCCAAGAAAGATTTTGATTCAACCAAATACCGATGAATTTCATGGAGTTTTTAAAGCGAAAGACGCTGTTATGCAGATAAAAGACTGGTTTAGTGGGGGATTTTTTCGAAAACGGCATACCAGCTTTCTTTATAACGGAGAAATCTGTAGTCTGTAGTTTCTGCACATAAAGTTTTTTATATTTCTTTAATTTAGACCACTAAATTGTCTGCATAGAGTTGAACTTTGAGAGGTTTATGTAATTTTATTTAGTATGTTGTTTACGGAACCTAGGAACAGGGTAAAACTGAATACTGAACCGAACCTTTAAGAAATTTTCGGTATAGGCTAAGCCTTTGAGTGCCCTTCAAATATTTAATGTGTATAATTTTTTAATGATGTATATTCAACACGTTGTGAAGGATCCCTTTAGATTGAATAAAATAGCTATGCACATTTGATACATTGCTAATGCTTCGTAGACATCACTTCAAGTCTACAATATTGGGAATTTTTGACTGGGTCTGAAGTCATTTTGCTCTGATAAGAAAAAATTAAAGGTTTGCCACAAGCCAGGTGTTTAATATTTTTTCCATTAATTTAGCCATGGGCCATGTTAGAGAGATGGGCATATTAATAAATTTGATACATCACTTCCAAATGACTACTTTTGGATAAGCTGGAGAGAAAAAGCACCCGGTACAAAAAGTATCCCAAGAGATATTTGAGGGTCGAAGTCTTATGAAGCTATCCTGAAAATTGTAGCCTGTTATGTATGACCGATACAGTATGCCGCCTGGCACCTAGACTAGAAGCAAGGTGTAAATATCTGGGAACAAGACACAAAAAAATGAATCTATAAAGCAGCCATTAGACCTATATTAACATACAGGGCGGAGACACGATCTGACACATCTAAAACGAGACGACTACTAGAAACAATAGAGATGAAAATACTCCGACTAATATCAGGGAAAAGTATGTTGTATCGGGAGAGAAGCGAAAACATAAAGAGCATGCGATATAGAAGACATAAATGGATGGGTGACAAAACGGAAACAGGAGTGGAACGAACACATTAGTAGAATGGCAGAGTATAGGATAGTACAAACAGCACGATTTTCCGAGCTTTAGTATACAGAGATTTCAAGCTATTACTGTTTACTTAGGTACACATGCTGAGGAAGTTTCTGCCAGTCATCTGGCTGACGTAGTTTATAATATATTTCACCACCTTTGTAATCCAAAGCTCTGATGTCATTCGCGGTAGGGTCTCCAGCTCTTTTTCCCGGCCTGATAGAATCATAATTGCAAACCTTCTCATAGTCTTTGAAAAACGTGTAGTCCAAATAATGCATATTGTATGGTTGTCTTGTTCTGGCCTCGGTCATTTTAGTTACATA